TTTAACAAAAAATGTAAAAATATTAATTTATTTTTATGGCATAAAATTAACTTTAAATTAATTATAAAAAACATATTTTATAAAAAAATTATTATGATATTAATTAATAATTATTAAATTAATATTATGATATTATTGCTTAAAAATTGTTTTATTATATATAAACAATATAAATTTATTATTGAAATGTTATATTCTTATTTTTTTCATATACAAAATATAATAAATAATTATAGATATAATTTTTTTTTATTTATTTTTATTTACTGATGCAAAATCGCCTATTCATATAAACTACAAAGAAAAGATAAAGATTAAATTCTGATTATCTATTTTATCTGAATATCTTTATGTGTCTACTAATTGGCAATAATATATAATGATAATAATGATATATTGTCACAAATATACATATTATATACAAGTAAAATTTAATATAATGATATAATCAATAATTCTTTCTAAATATCTTAAAAATTAAGAAAGTCTGATTACCATATAATAGAAAAATATTATTCTAAACATTATAATTTTTATAAAACATTATATATATAACATCATAAAAATCTGTTTATTTAAATAAAACAAAATTAAATGTATGATATAGAATTATATTAATGGTATATCATTTATAATATGTATTTCAATAAATTATTTAAATTATTTTTGTTTTTATTTAAATTAATTTTTATAGTATTTTATAGTATTTTTATATCTTTTTATAATATGAAATAATTTGTTCAATGATATAAAATATAATTAATTAAAATTCGCAAAATATTAAGTATATAAAATATTTTATATAAGGTATCATCAACTGTTTTATATGAAATCCAAATACCTCAACAAGAACAATTTAGTGGACTTATAAGTGAAACTACGAAAAATATAATACAACAAAAAATATTAAATTGGGAATTAGCAGAATTACAAACTGGTATGGAACATTATCTTGGAATACAAACTGTTTCTGATAAAGCAGTAGCTGATTGTGTGGAAGCATTGATTGGTGTATATCTTAGAGTAAATAAAAAAAAAGATTTTATGATATTATAATTTTTTTTTTAATATATACTTTTTTTAATATAAATAATTTTTTTCTAATAGAATATGGGTATCAAAGATACTTTAACATTATTAAAATGGTTTCAAATTTTACCAAATGAAATTGACTCAAATACATTATTATTTGGTACTTCTGAAAATCCAATAATTTCCAATAAAGGAGACATAAATTCTTATATGCCCTGGGCTTCTGAAATAGAAACAAAACTTGGATACAAATTTAAAAATAGAGGATATTTATTACAGGTAATTTCTAATTTTATTCTTATTTTTAATAATAAAGAAAAAATAATTTTAAAAATAATTTATTTTTGATGGAATATTATAATGCATTTTATAAAATTACAAGATATAATTTAGTGATTTAATTTAATTAAAAAATATAAATTATAAAAAGTGCTTAAGAATTTAAATACTTTAGGCCTTTACACATCCTTCATATTCAGCAAATAATATGACTGAATGTTATCAACGATTAGAATTTCTTGGTGATGCAATACTTGGTAATGGAATATGTTGTTTGAAAAATTATTTTAAATATTTATTGATAATATACTAATATATTTTACTTAATGTTATTACAGATTTTTTAATTACAAGTTATATTTATGAAAATTGCGGAAATTTAAATCCTGGTTCTTTAACAGATTTAAGATCTGCTCTTGTGAATAATATTACTTTTGCATGCTTAACAGTTCGACATGGATTACATATTGCATTATTATGTTATTCTCCAAAATTAAATGATATTATAGAGAGATTTGTGAAGTTTCAAGAAGAAAGAAATTATATTGTAAATGATGAGGTATTCTACTTTTAATAAAATAATATTAAATAATATTAAATAAATTTTGAAGTATTATAAAAAATATATATATATTATTATTTATAAGTATATTCTGAATTTTTAGCTTTTATGGATTTTATTAGAAGAAAGTGAATGTAATATAGCTGAACATGTAGATGTTCCAAAAGTCTTAGGAGATATATTTGAGTCCATAATAGGTGCAATATACTTAGATAGTAATAAAAATCTTATGGTTGTATGGGAAATAATATACTCCATCATGCATAAAGAAATTGGTATATATATATATATATATATAAATGATTTAATATTTTTAAAATATTTTATTATATATAAACATATTATATAATATGATAATGTTCTTATTTAGATGAATTTAGCAAAAATATTCCGAAACAGCCAATTCGTATATTATATGAAACTCAAGGTGCACATCCACAATTTCTGTAAGTATTATTAATTAATATTTCATTTTTATTAAAATTAGTTAACAATTATATATTTGTTTTAGAAAAACAACTATTGTTGAAAATACAAATACTATTATGATACCTTTAAAAGTAACTATTGAAGGGAAAACAAAACTTTTTCATGGATTTGGTACAAATAAAAAACAAGCAAAATGTGCTGCGGCAAAACAAGCATTAAAAAGTTTGTTGTATAAAAGATAGATAAAAATAGTAAAAAATGCTAAAAAAAAATGATATATATTTATAAATTATTGCATATTTAATATTCAAAATCTGTAATAATATATACTGATAGAAAATTTATTAATTACAAATCTATTAATGTTCATATATCAAATTGTATGTATTAAATTAAATTTTATTAGAAATATTAAAATTAAAATTGTTTGACATACCCTGATTAATTTTCATTTTTCCGTTTTTTTAATGATGGTCGTTCAAATACTTGTTTCATTCCTGCAGCTTGATTATTATGAAATTTTAAATTTTGTGCTGTTTCTGAAATCCATGGAGAATCAAATTGAGTTGTATCTTGATCAACTAAATGAGTATATTTAGTTCTACCACTGCGTCCAAAGTTTTTCACTTGCATAACTTTTGGTAAAATTGTTTTATCAAAATGATCTTCTAAAGTTGCACCAGAGAAATCTCGTTTAAATATATTATCATCTTTATCTAAATAAAAAGCTCCACGATGATAATATTTCTGTAAAAATTTGTATTTTCCTTTAGCTGCTTTATTTGTAATAATTTTTGGATTCAATCGCGCTTCTTGTCTTCGTTCTTCTTCCGTCATATTACGTATACGTTCAACTTCAAGTCGTTCTTTTTCAAGCCTAAAACATATGTTTATAAAAAGATAGATATAAAAATAAATATAAAGTTTATTATTGCTAATATAACATACTGTTCTCTTTCTTCACGATCACGTTTAATTCTTTTTAATTCTCGTAATTTCCAAGCTTCATATTCAATTTCATCATTTTCATCATCTGTACAAACATCTTCAAGTTTTCCTTCATTGTCATTTGTATTTTTATTAACTTGTGCTTCTTTTCTTATTGCTTCTTCTACCATCTATGGAATAAATAATATTAGAAAAAATCTATATAATAATTTTTACTAATTTATTTATATAATTACAAATTATATACTCGTAATGTTTGTCGTTTTCGTTCTTCAGCCATTTTTTTAGCTTCAATTTCTGCTTGTTTTTGTTTCATTGCTTCTTTCTCTTTTTCCATTACTGTAATTCTATCTTTTTTACGTACAAAAACTGGTTTTAATCTTGGTCCAGTTTCTTCTTCTGAATCAGTATATTCTTCATATTCTGAGCTTTCTTCTGAAGTATCACCTGATCTTTCATCTTCTTCTCCATGAATTAATTCTTCTTCATTTTCTTTTTTAGATAAAACTCTTTGTTTCAATGCTTCTCGTCTTTTTTCAATTTCAGAATCTGACAATTCTTCATCTTCTGAAGAATCTGAACTTTCTAATTTAATTCTTTCTCGTGTTCTTTCAGGTTCAACTTCAATTAATTCTGGTTCATGTATATGTCTATGCCTTTCTGCACGAATTTCTGTATTTGATTCTTTTTGTTTTTCTAAACGTGTTAATCTTCTTATACGTGGATCATCTTCATCACATATTTTAATTTGTGAATGTGTAGGAGTATCTGTAGAAATTTCATTTTCTTCATAATTTTTATGTACACGTCTTTCCAAAAAATCTTCTTCTTCAGATTCCTCTTCCGAACTAGCAACTGGTGCATAATCAGGTCGTTTACCAGAAACATAACGATGTACTTTTACTTTTTTCATAGAGAGTTCACCTATAGATTTAAACAAATTTTAAATTTTAAAAATATTATAATATTACTTATAAACTTATGATATTTAATTTAATATAGTAAATTTTAATTGCAAATCTATACTTTATATATAATAATTTTTAATTAGGTTTAGATTATATTATTAAATCTATATTATAATTATATCTAATTATTAACCTTTATCATTTTTTACAGGTACGGCACCTGCTGTACTTTGAATTCCCATAGGTGCAGGAGCTAAAGAATTATTTGTAACGAAATAATCCATCATCATTTTGTACGAAATCTTCAAAACACTATCAAAATTTTTAAAATAAAAATTCTATACAAACTATTCTATTTCTATTAACAATATATTATTATATTATATTATCAGTATATATATCGTATATATATCGTCATATAAATATTATATTAACTGATTTTTTTAAATTATACCATATGATTGAAAATCATTTGACGAAATAAATCTAGCTACTAGAATTAAACAAATTAAATCATAATAACAACTTCAGTTATCGACTGAAAAAAATATATTAAGATTGGTATATTAGATAATATTAAAGGTATATTCTCACGATAACAAAGTTATGATTTTCATTATGTGACATTATTGTGTCAACATTATAAATCACAATAATAAATTCAATATTACGAATGCAACATCTAATTTTATTAAAATCATAATTTCTTAAATAATATATATTTATATTCATGATTTTAGATAATTCTAAATATTAATAAATAAAAATTAATAATAAAAATTAAAACAAAGATAAAATGATAATTTTACATAATAAAATAATAATAGAAGCAATATAATAATATTTATTTAATGTATATTATATATACTATATAATATATTATAAAATGCAATTTAATCATTATTAAATAATAAATAATAAAATATATATTTCACTTTATTATATGTTAATTGTTATTTTACTCTCATAATTTTATTAAATTTATTATTATTTATATTATAATATTTAACATTAAATAATGCTTATTATGATGTATATATTGAAAATTATAATTTCAAAAAAATTAAATTTTAATTGAAATGTTGCTAATTATTTCTTATAACTTATTTTAATTTAAAAAAAAAATAGTAATAATAAAAAAAATTATTTATTCATAATTATTAATTATAAAATAAAATAATTTTTAAATTTATTTTT